CCCTCAGCCCAGTCCCTCGCCAGGAGAGGCCCATGCCCACCGCTTTCCTGAGCACCCACCCTCCTGCCAGCAGGACTCAGATCCCAGCTCTGCCCTTCACAGGCCTGGCCCCCCTTTGCCAGGGCTTAGGCCACTCTGTCCCTTACACGCCGGGACCACAAGTAACGCTTCATCATAACTCAGTACCTACAGGCTCGCATACATACTCCCTGCCACTTTCTATTCTGTTTCATGTTTTAAAATACTGGTCAGGAAAGACCTGCTAAACCGACCCACCCGTTGAGTGGGAGCAGAGCATGAGGACCCTGCTCCCAAGGCCAGAAAGGGAGACGCACCTTCAGCATCCCTCTCAGAGCCCGACACCTGGTGAACAGGTTACCCAGCGACACACTAGGCGGCTGGGATGCCCCACAGGCAAAGAGCGAACTGTGAACCCCTCTGCCAGGGGTAAACTGAGGCCCTCAGGAGGGGAGGCAGCACGTGAAGGCTGGGTTTGGGGCCAGCCCTTGGTGAGTGGTGCCCTTCGGGGCTACGAGGCCAGGGTGGGCACTCGGAAGGGATCTGTTGCCTGAGCTGGGGGATGGTGGGTGCCGAATGCCCCAGAGGCCCTCCCCCAGCCCACCCAGCCTCACCTTCATGGGCAGGCTGGAGCCCAGGTACACCACGAAGATGGCCACTGCCTGCCACCAGTGGTAGATGGTGAAGATGAAGTCTTGCCTCTCTTTGTCCTCGTACAGGATGCCCAGCAGTGCTGTGGCCGACAGGGTAGGGCAGGGAGGGGAGTAGTGTCACCCAGGGCCCAGGGCCCTGATCTCCCACCAGTGACCCTCCTAGGCTGTGCGGGGGGGACGGGGGGGGGGGGCGCGGGTCCCAGCCCGAGGCCTGGGAAAGCCTAGAAAGCTGTAGACCGGTCCTGGCCTGCCCCCTAGTGGATACGCTGGTTACTACACTGCCCGGGCAGCTGAGCCAAGTAGAGATGAGATGGGATGCAGGTGGGCCTCGCTCTGGGGGACTCGGGATTTGAAAAGTGGAAACGTTTGTGCACAATCACATCCCGTCCCCTTTCAGACCCCAGCCGTTCAGAGCCAGGCCTGCCAGGACTGTTTCTCCTCCTCACCCCTGGCTCAGGGAAAGCAATCAGCTTTCTACAAATTAAACCTGAAGCTGGGGGATTTGAACCTATTTCCCTAAGAATCCTCCCTGGGGTGGGCAGGAGAACTGGACAGGGAGTCAGGGACTCAGATTCTATGCTCAGGCCGGTAAAGTAAGAGAGTTGGTACAGAGACGTGGATTCAAATGCTGGCTCTATGGGTGACTTAGAGAAGTCAACTCTCCAGGGCCACTTTTCCCATCTGGAAAATGAGACCAGGCATCTATGTTATACTTATGCTGGGAGGCTTTGATGTGAGAAAGCTCACACAGCACCTGGCAAATCGTACCCTCGCCTGCCCCTTGGACATGAACACCCCCACTGTAAGCCCTGCAGGGTGACTGTACCCCATGGGGCTGCTGTGAAGGGACATGGAGTCCCAGGGTCCACAAAGAGGGGACAGGAAGCAGAGCTGTCGGGACCAGGCCCAAGTCCAGCCATAACATGGGTCCAAGGTACCCAGGCTGGATGCTGCCCAAAGCTGGCTGCCCCTGAGCAAAACAGCCAAGAGAGCGTGGTCCAGGGCGTGGGGCTCCACCCCCTGACTCTCTCTGATGGTAAGTGCCGGGGTCACCTGAGCAGCACGCATGACCTCCACAATGCCACACCCCCAGGGGCGACGTTCGAAACAGTTAACAGCACGGCCCATCGGAACAGATGCCAATGTGGAGGGCCTCAACGGCTGAGCTGTGTGTACCCACTGCATGTCACTGGCATATGCCCACCTGAGGGCAGAGATCATCACAGAGCTGAACTCTGCCCACTGCCTCCTTTCTACAAACAGAGCCCCTCTTCCCAGTGCCCCAACCCCTGCAGCCCAGACTTGGGGCCTGGACTCTGCAGACCAGCACTGGGCGTCATCGGGCTCCCAGGTCCTCTCTGTAAAGGCCACACCTACATCTACACCTGGGTGTGGGCAGGGCCGCCCACACTTCCCATGCTCCTAGAGCACACACACGGAATCTGCTCCCAGTGTCATGAAAACTCTGTCCAATGGGCGCTGTCCCTGGTATGAAAGCTGAGTATCCCCAGGATGTTTTTCACATTGCCCTTCAGAGGTTTCCACAGAGCCCATACCTACCCCAAGTAGCCATAGATGTCACACTACCCCTCAGTGTCCACAGGGCCCCATGCCCAGCCTGGAGTAGCCACTGGATGTCCATGGCATAGGACTCCCACACCAGCCCCCGGGGTGCCCACAATTCTCCCCACCTGTCCCTACGATGTCCACAGAACTTCTTTCCACCCCTGTAATGGCCACAGGGATCCACAGTTACCTCTACCCTGTATACAGGACCCCATGACAGACCTCCCGTGTGTCTATGGCACCCCATGTCTGGCCCTGGGATGTATGTGCTACCCCTAACTGCCCCAAGGTAGACACAGGGTTACCCAGCCATCCCAGTGCCCATGGCTATACTCACTGGAGAGCCCGGTCTTGTTGAGGCCACTGCCCACACCCCAGAGGATGGCTGCTACATAGAGGATCCAGATGTGTTGCAGGACCCGAGGTGTGGGGGCCCAGAAAAAGAGGCTGATGGTGAGCAGCAGGTGCAGTCCGGCCCCAGACAGCAGAGGCACCTGGCGCGGCAGCCACAGCCCCAGCAGGCCCAGGAGTGAGGAGGCGGAGGCGCCCAGGCCATAAGCCACGAGGAGGTAGGCCAGGCGTTCCAGCCCCACGGAGCACACGCCATAGCCCTGGGGGGGGGGCGGTGAACGTGTGAGGTCAACTGGCCAAGGCTCTCACCCCCCCCCCACATGAGGTGTCCACCCTGCCCTCTCTGGGTCACCTTGGGGCTAATTCCCTCCAAGGCTCAAGGCTCTTAGGAAGGTTGGGGGTGGGGGGGGGGTAAGGAGCAGAGAAAATGCTTGGACATTGTTCCCAGGCACCAAGGCTGCACCCCACAAGGAACCAAACACTTTATGGGTGTTATCCTATCTCAAACATGTAACCCCTCCGGGAGCGAAGGTCATTACTAGACTCACTTCTCAGAGGAGGAGACAGGCGCAGAGAGGTTAAAATAATGTGTCCAAGATTGAGGGCAAGTAAAGGAAGGGAAGAGGGAGGGGAATATTGGGACATATTTGTACATATTCAAAACTTTGTCGCTGTTTATCCGAGGTTCGAACGGAACCACACAGACTGTATTCCACCGCCATCTACGCGGGCTGTACCTACCAGCGCGAGGCCCGTGCAAGCAAAGAGCACCTCGAAGCCGCTGTAGATGAAGAAGGGCACGAGGTGGCGCAAGCGGAAGTCGCGCACGTGCTTGAAGGGCAGCTGGAAGATGTTGCCCCAGCCCACGCTGCGCAGGTCGATCTCCTCCGTGGGCCGGTACGCGGCCCCGCACAAGCCCAGCACCTGCAGACC